CCCCCCCCGTTTTTTTCTTACCCCACCCCCGGCCCCGCCTCAACTCTGCCCCTTCCCCAAATCAGCGTGAAACAGCTGATTCGCGCGCCGCTGCTCCCCCTCCCTCCCAGGCTCTCAAACCCGGGAGGGAGGGGGAGATCCCGAGCGGCCGCGCGAATCAGCTGTTTGAGAGCCTGGGAGGGAGGGCGAGTAGCGGCGCTGGAGCGGCAGCAGCGGAGGTGAGTTAGGGCTGCCAGGGCACATTTTTGCCAGAATGCCACCCCTAAAAATGTGCCGCCCCAAGCACCAGCTTGTTTTGCTGGTGCCTAGAGCCGGCCCTGATTCCTATTGCCTCATCGAAATATCCTTGGCTCTCAGGCTGAACAGCAGCACTGACATCACCTATGCTTACCTGGAAAGGCCAGATCTGCCGTGGGTGTAAACCAGCATAACTCCAGTGACGGCAAGGAAGCTACTGATTTAGACAAGCTGAAGATGTGGCCCAGCTCCTGTGTATTGTGGCTGCTACAGTATCTTTACTTACCCCAGGTGAGCCCACTGGGACAAGTCTGAGTACGGTTAAATTGGATCTACTGTCAACCTTTAGAGGATTAATAATTCTAAGTCATGATGATAAACTATGTTTTATTGTAACTTTCCTAAATGGGCTCCACATTGTGTGTGATTCCAATTGGTTTAGCTGTGGCATCATTACAAGGTTACCAACAAGATTGCACTAGAATACAGAAGTGATTTAATGCAAATATTTATTCTGAATGCAATCCCCCACTTTAGAGTTTCTTAACTGAAAGCAAAGTTCAATTGTCTACAGTTCCCTTAGATCATAACCAGACCTCAGCAGAGTTCATGAAATGCAGAATTTCTACACTGGAAAGCCTTGCACAAGCCCTTGTGCAGCTTGACTTGCTTAAAGAGAAAAATATGTAACGTTAATTTCACTGGAAAGAAGTATCCCTGAATTTTCTGTGCTAAGTTTTTGAAGCCATATGACCTTGCATTAGTTATTAAACACTTACTTGACTCGCTATTGTCACAGTCCTGGGGATTGCACTTCTGGGTGTTCTCTGGCCACTGTTCATGGTCACACAGGCTACTGTCTTCTTCAGCTTCACCAGTTTTTGTGTTCATGCACTTCACCTGTCGCCGCTGGATGCCACCACCACAGGTAGCTGTGCACTGCAGAAAGTTAATTAGCTGGGATATAATCAATTGCATCCAGAATTAAGGTTTATTTTTTATATGTTGCTGCTGGATTTGAGACTTCACTTAAATATCTATACGCTACATGGATATTCACATGTTTAAAGTGGGATCCGAGCAAAATTCCTACACTGTCTTTGTAGAACTTATTTCTCTTTTATCCCCTGCTCCAATTAGTTCTGTTTCTATGGGATACAAAGGCATTTCTATTGTACATAACCCAAAGTTTATCTGGTGCTGCTGCGCGCAATAGCTTCCGCTAAGTGAACAGACCTCTATTAATTCTGCTGACTGAGGAGGTGGGAGACATCTTGTCTGACTGAACACGAGGCACGGTTAGCAACACACGTCCATTAACCTTTATTGTATTCAGAGCTGGCCTGGCTCCTCCAGTTTTTATAAAGTATCTGGTCAAAACAGGACTTCTTTAGAAACAAAATTCCCCTGTGTGCCTTTTCTCAGCAGAGCTAGTCAATGAGAAACTCTTCATTGTGGTTTATTTTTGTCAATATTCTGTACAATTTATTGAAACTGAGTCACTTACAATACGTCTCCATTCACTTCTCAGATACATGGACATGGAATGGAACATTGGTCTGCACTGAAAACTTTTATCACCATAACTATGTCAGTTAGGGGTGTGATTTTTTTGCCTACATCGTTATATTGGGAAACGCCCTAGTATACACACAGTTATAGTGGTATAAGGTGATTTATACCAGCATCATTTATTTCGTTTTGCCAAACCAAAATAAGCTAGACTGGTAGAAGCACTTTTATGCATCTACACTAGGTTTTTTTTTTGCTGCTTTAACTATGCCAGGATAAAGTGGCAAAATGTTTACATGTAGACAAGACCTTATAAACTCTACTATCAATTGTGTGGGCTTGATTGCAGAAACCAGTGTTACAGACCAGGTAGTATAGCAGGTGTTTGCTTATCTGAGATCACAGTTAAGTCCCTGGAAAACTGCTGTACAAAAATAATACACGTGATTAATTCCCAAGAGAAATTCAGCCGCAGGAGACATTTATTTCCCTTAAACATTTGCTCACCTCTCCCCATGATCCCACTACCCATTTGGTACATGGGTGAGTGTTGCAGGGTCTTGTGTTATTTGGCCTTAACATTTCATCACACCGTCCGAATTCTGGACACGTAACTAAACGCTCCTGCTCGCCGCTGCCGCATGACTCAGAGCACTAAGGAGAAACAAACAAACCATTAAATTGGAATCAGTCTGGAGTAACAGGGAAAAACACCCCACTTACTTGTCTCTTACGGAATTACAGTGTGAAGTGGCCCTAAGAAAAATTTGCCTCCAGTGTTGAATGCCCATTTTTGTGATTATAACTATTGTCTGTGGGTGGTTTCAGTTGTGGAAGTGAGGCTACTAAATTGATTTGAAGTTAAACTCTTAGGCACACACCGCTTTGTAAGCATACAGCAGATCTCAGCTCATATATATTCACTACTTCCTAGATCCAAATATTTAGAGGGTCAGATTCTGCCCACAAGCAAAGGTCACACAATACTCCCACTGTCTTCTCATCAACGACAGTTGCACAAGTCGAACTGAGTGTGGAATGTGGCCTACAAGCTGTCTGGCACTACTGTGTACTTCTTAAATAATAGCCAGTATACGCTGCACTCTGAGGCTAAGCAAAAGTAAAATGCCAGCGAAATGTATTTGCAGGGAAGGGAATGAAAAAGAAGTGCTGATGTGAAACATCACATCACAAACCAGACAAAAAATATATTTACTGGATATACAGATAAGAAAATGAATGGGGCATCTAGTGATAAATGGATCCAAGTTAGGAAGATATTTGACTGGGAGAGTGTAGAGTAAACGATAGATTTCAAGGCCTTCAGATTCCTTTACTTAGCTGACAGGCTACTTTTAAAGCTGAAGGCAAAAATGAACATGGAATAAAAGATAATGGGCTAATCCCATGCTGCAGTGTAAGCACGGGGGTTACGAAAGCAGGACTGTGCCAAGCTCAGACTGGTGGGGAAGGAGAAAATCAGTGAAGAAATAACATTTAATTAACCATTTAAACATTTTTCTGTGGAATCTTCCAACTGAAGATACCCTGGGATGCATCATTACGGGGCTTCACAAATACCAGAAGTCCCCTTGTAATCCCAGAATGCCTCATTCAGTGACATCTCCAGTAAGCAAAGAAAAAACAGGAAAGGAAAACAGATATGTTACAAGCTATTTTGGGGCTGAGTGCCTTCACCAGCCTGCTCAGGGGACCCTCTGGTGGGCACCGCAGATGGCTAGCTTCAGCTGGATTCTCCTACGTCCAACTAACAGCAGGGTTTGGAACACAGCACCAGATTTATTAATCTCCTAGTTTGTGGGGCTATTGATCTGTCTGTGGAAACCTATGGGGGCAAGTGGAAGAGAACATAGAGCAGCAGTTGCCAACTGGAATTTCCATTAGAACATTCAACCCATGTCTGAGATTAACCCAATTTTCATCATAGTTTGGCAGTTCATCATTTAATAAACACTTGATAGTGTTGGGTTATTTGCAAACAGCTGTTAAAACATATTGAAAAGAACTTGGTCCATCTGTGCCTTCATATATTCCTTACAGAGAGACCTGCTGCATCAGGACCCTCTGAACTCTAGTGACGTTTGGACCAGGCCCATCTCCGATGATGTATTGCGTGCACCTTCTCTCTCTAGAAATCCCGCTCACCTCTCTCCAGGACGAGGTATACCAGTCCAGACAAGGCTTGGTTTGGCAGGGAGTCTGCATTGGGGGCTTGTAGAAAACAGCTTGACAATGAAAGGGCCGCAGAAGCCTCTGTTCTCTGGTGTCAACGCAGTGCACGTCCCGAACCTTCAGTCCCCCTCCGCAGTTCTTGGAGCACTGGGAAAACAATACAATGAGTCATGCTAGTGGAGCGGAGGCAGTAACAGTGTCCAGACATGAATCTCTCTGGCAAAGTGGAGTTTACCCAGATATTAAAGAAATGAATTGTCAAGCTCTGTCTTTCATTAACTCTTTCAGTTTTTGCCTTTGGGTCTCTCCATGATTGTACCTGGCCCAAGCTGGAGAGGGTCCTAAGCATGACTACCACCACCAGGACTTTCCACTCTGAAAAGATTCTATTTGCATTTTCAATGGCGACAGCTTTTTGAGGTCATGTCCCCACATCCACAGATCTCGAAAGTTAAGGCCTGTTAAAATCATCCATAGTAATCCTCAAAAAGAAGAACAGGAGTACTTGTGGCACCTTAGAGACTAACAAATTTATTAGAGCATAAGCTTTCGTGGACTACAGCCCACTTCTTCGGATGCATATAGAATGGAACATATATTGAGGAGATATATATATACACACATACAGAGAGCATGAACAGGTGGGAGTTGTCTTACCAACTCTGAGAGGCCAACTCCCAC